TTAAAAGTAAGGCACATTTAGGAGCCCTCAAGCATATACTTCTGATGTTACTGCTAACTGAATTGATATATACTGTCATGAAATATATTAAACTGTTATACAAGGTGTCCCCTTGCAAGGCATACTGATTTTCCTGCACTATGATTAGCATTGATTTAAATATGTGATACAATTTTTATAACCTTATCTTGACTTTTAATATATATAGAAACTGAAAAATTGGGAGTAGTGTGGCTTTCCCTTGTTAAACAGATGTTTGTTACTGTTCCGCTGTATACTCTGTCGGATGTAAGTTTACTGGTGAATTCAGAGCTTCCCATATATTTGTTGAATTTTTGGGGGGTAAGTAGTATAACATCATCGATAAAGTTGGTGACTTTAGTCATTTAGTAAATGATATCATTCAAAACTGGGAGCATCCAAACAAAATATTTGTTTTAAAATAAATACCTTGTAATAATTAAAGACCAATTGCCTTATTTTTATGATTTCTGGAGAGAATATAATATTTCTAGCTACAAATTATCCAAAACTAGTCCAATGGTGGCAATATGCCCATCATGGCAAGATGCATATGTTGGATTATAGTGATCTTTTCCAGATTTGTTATGGCCTTGGTCTATTATATGTTTTGACACAACTACCATTTTTAATTTTAGACTTCCTTAGAAAGGTCAAAAAGAAGATAATTTCTGTCCTTTACTCTGAATCCTCTAGTATTCAAATAACTGCAGTACAGATACAAAGTTCAGGAAATCAACATCATCAAGGTAATATACAGCTCTTTCTTGTATTTTGACTTTTTCACATAATAACATCCTGTTATGTATTATTTACAATCAATATATGGGTGTTAGATTTTCCATTTTCATTTTTTTAGGTGCTTTATACTCCATTGTGTGGTTAATTACATATTTAATTACTCTCTTACAGATGAATAATTAAATTGTTTCCAGTACTTTGCTATTCAAATAAAGCTGCCCTGAATTATCTCTGGCTAATTTGTGATTATTGAAGGTTTATCATCAGGGTAATTTCTAAATATGTGGATGATAGAAGATAAGCACATAATTATTTTCTTAGATTCTCAAATTCTCCTCCAGAAAATTTGTATTGTCTTTTAACAGCAGCTTATGAAATTGACTAGTTCTCCACAGCATCACCAACAGAATGCAGTGATGTGACTTAAATTTTATCTTGCCTGATAGGTATGAAATAAGATCTCATTTTTAAAATTTTTTATTTAAAGATTTATTTATGTATGCATACAGGACTGGGATACAGGCCAGAGGTGCAGGGGCGGTGAGAGGACTCAACAGAGACAGAGTGGGGAGCAGAACAGGCAGACTGATGAAATACACTGCTGAGGGGAGCAGCGGGGG